TAAATCGGTCTGTAGCGCCTGTAGGTAGGCAACATGCCATTTCCCTCCACCTGTGGCTTCTTTCTTTCATTTCGTGGAATTTCGGCGTGTGTTTGTTTATATTTGTTTTTATTGGCGCGCCAATAAAAGAGACGCGGACTGGGCTTGTATGTCAAGGACGCGGTGATCAATGAATGGAACGCTTCTCATTCTTGTTCCGCCTTTAATCGCGCGATTCTGATTCCTCGACGCGCGTTCCGTTGTCACACTCGCACTTCCCCAGAGCTGTTCCGCCGTCCCGAGAAAAAACGCCGTATCGACTTTCGAAGGTTGCCAAATTTCCCATGATAAATTAGGTAATTGAAAGAGAAATTATGGGTGTATCTCCTTGAAATTTCAGGGACACCAGTTTAGACAGCGAATGGAATTTTCTAAAAAAAATTCATGGAAAAATGAGCGAGAGTTCTCTGGAAAATTCGTAGGTGATCAGAAGAAATTTTGCACCGCCCGATTGCTCATACTCCGTTTTTCCCTAGCATGAGATGTTGGCGTAGGTCGAAAGCTTCGCGCTTCACCTGCTCTACACCTTGCGGACATCGACACTTCACGCAGACGTAGCGGTTGTGAGTGGATTCTAACCGGAAATGCACGTAAACCAGGAGATCAAATTATACGTAATCCTACGAGGAGAAAAGTTAAGATTTATTCGCAACCAAGATATAAGCAATCTCGTAGTATTAATTCGTTCAGATTTCCTCAACGGGTTGGAGTTTAAACGTGCTGAGATAATGGTAAGGGACTATTTTACCGCAATGCAAAATACATGGGACCTCCCTTTTAGCAAAATCACTGTCTCAGGAGCGACCATAAATACGAGCCAAATCAAGGAACAAGAACAACATGGGCTGAGCGGCATCTTTTTAATCAATTAAGACGAGAGTTGGACGCCGCGCCGCTCCGCATACAAGTCGCTTTGGGCAAGCGTGGTTAGAGCGCCTTCAACTTTTTGAATATGCAACACGGACATCCCGTGAGCACGTATAGTTGTATCAAGGCGTTAGTATCATCTCGGTGTCAAAATGTTTGACCAGAACAGCTGTTAGAGGTGTCTTGCTCTCTTTTTTCTCTGTTTGATAATGCAATTTAAGTGATGTATAACTTTTTTTGAGCACCAGCAACTCATGAAGTGGCATTTCAACAAAAATATATTGTTAGAAATTATGAAAAAAAAGTAAAATAGACCGGAGAGGAAATACCATGTGGTAAGATTCACAAGAAAAATACTTAAAAAGTCTAGCTCATTTTCTCCATATTTTACCTCTTTCTTAGCGAATTTTTTAATGACAATAATTATTATCTGATTACACCGCACAACAAATTTCGGATTTTCGTTCGGCGCCTTTGAAAAAGCACTTTACGCCTTCAGTAATAAAAAATACACATCAAATTATCGGCTATGTGAAGGAAAATTTGCGTTAATTATATTCGCTGTCTAAAAACTGTCATACAAGTTATTCAGTTAGATCGTAATCTATTTTCTCTCAAAACTAGGATGAAATTCTTACTGCCTGCTTTTATCTCTAACATCATCTGCTCTCTTTATGATGCAGAATAATTCAGAATTTTTCAACGTATATTTTCTTATCAAAACAATTTTTTTTTATAATGACGCTAACGGCTCACATAACATGGCAAATATTCAGCCAGACGTATTAACGGCGACTCCTGTTCATAATAAGAGATCCAAAAGATTTTAAATTTTGAAAAATCTTGATATACCTGCAGACTGAAGAGAAAATAACACTAAATAATGTAAATATAATTTATCCCGCAGAGCATACGAGGGGCGTTCAATAAGTAAGTATCCCCCCTCTCTAAAATCCATTAGAATGAACCAATTTTAAAAAACTTGGGCTCAAAATCTTCCTTAGGATATTTTGAGCTCAACAAAACAAACCGCAACTAAATCGGACCATGTCCGGCCGAACGCGAGCCGTTTGAACGCGCCGAGGTGCTCGACGCTCCCGCCGAATCCGCGAGGATTTGAAGTCCGCTACAGGAGAAGAGCTTCTCTGCCAAAGCCTCAGTCGTTCATCACTGACGAAAAATCAAAGAAATCAAGGAACGGGAATAAATGGTGGTCTGGTTTGCCATTCATATTCGTATCTGAAATCTGAATTTGGAGGAGTTAATGTTGAATCAGGGGAAGAGGTCAAACAAGTCGTCCACTCTTTCATCCCCGGTCAGCTGAAAGACTTCCACGCGCGAGGCATCCAAAAGCTCTTCTCTTAGTCTCAGTATCAGACTTGCTTGTATCGAGCTGGTTATGTGGAGAAATGAGGTAAGTCCCTTATTCTACAAAAATTTCTTTGATTTTTCGTCAGTGATGAACGACTGAGGCTTTGGCAGAGAAGCTCTTCTCCTGTAGCGGACTTCAAAGCCTCGCGGATTCGGCGGGAGCGTCGAGCATCTCGGCGCGTTCAAACTGCTCGCGTTCGGCCGGACATGGTCCGATTTAGTTGCGGTTTGTTTTGTTGAACTCAAAATATCCTAAGAAAGATTTTGAGCCCAAGTTTTTTAAAATTGGTTCATTCTAATGGATTTTAGAGAGGGGGGATACTTACTTATTGAACGCCCCTCGTATAATGGGTTTTGCCATGCGAAAATGTATAAACAAACGTTTAAGGGTAATTTTTCTAGGTAGAGGGGAAAAATATACATTTTGAGTTTGATCAGCCTGTATTTTCTCGGTGTGGTACAAAAACAATTTTTTATTGTTATTAAAATACATATATTTATTTTCCACCGACGTTCTGACAGGCACATCCCATAAGTTATTTGGAGGAGCTCAGATGTTTTTTGTTATTGGATAGATCCTCGTGGTTTTTATTAAAGAAAAAATTTCAAACCATCGATAAGAACCAACGCTGCCTATATGTATTCATTGGAACAGCCGTTGCAAAAACGTAATATAAATTGTCCAAAGTAAATACCGTAGTTTTACACGCAGGGAATTCATTTTTTGCTTTTAAAAACGTTCTGACAACTTTGTAGGTCTTTCTCACCCTGTATCTTCCAACCTCGATTTCCCTCTACCTGCGATAATATTCGCACAAAATTTACATCCTATCCTTATGCGCATTACTTTATTTTCTAAAGTGGAAGGAAGTTACGTCAGCGCTTTTTCCTGCTTGGCCGATCACTTGCAAGTTCCAAAGAAGACCTTTGATAATACTCGAAATATTTTATTTATGATTTTATATCAGTGGTGTATCTACTGATCATATGCTTTCAATCGTTTTAAAGTATTTGTTTTTACCTCTCCAGTCGATATAACGAGAAAAATAAAATGCTTTTATACGACGGAAATCACTTTCAGATTTTTTTTTCAGAGAGGGAATTTTACACTCAGAATTTTACGAGATGTCATTATGAAATTTTGCATCTCAACCCTTAACGAAGGTTCCGACACCTTATTCTCCTCTTGAGTGTTGCCCATTTCATGAACGTGAGCACCACGAGCGAATTTTGAAGAAGGATGTAGGTAAACGCGGGAGGTAGTATAGGTGCTTACCAGCGGCTTATGTGGCCTTACAAAAGCTTGACATTTACGGTGATACCACTATTCGACCATGTGGGAGCCAATGTTGCCTATACTAAAAGTTGAAGGCAAACTGACATGCCGTTAAAGTCACCTCAGTCACCAGCTATGTTTTGGGTGTATTCCGAGTAAAGCGTGCCATTTCACGAAGATACCATTCGATTACGTAGGAGCCCATGTTGCCTACACCGAAAACTGAAGGCGAACAACTGAAGCGTGTGAATCGCCTCTCTATGCTCGGTAAAATGATCTTTTTCGTGTGTCATAGATACACGTGGTATGGTGACGTCGCTTTTCGACCGCGTGTGGGTGCCTAAGTGCCCAATGCAAATGGATTATCATTTATTGTCCTCAGTATTTATTTTTTCTACGAATGTACGTATCAATTCATTGATTGCCTCAAATGCTAATTTGTCTAATCATATTCGAATATAATTTATTATATCATAACCAATTTATTGAGGTCGTACAAACATAACCTTCTTTCGAGTTCTTCCTGCGGAAAAGGTGAGGGTGTTGAGGGAAACGTTACGTAATTTTTATAGGGCTATCTGGACGAAAGTTGTGATCGCGTTACAAAGGGATTGTGGCCGGTGGGTGTCAAAAAATCAGAAAAATTGTGTTACGTAATTAATGGACAGCCCCTTCGCTTTTTAAGTTCCCACATCAAAGTTGCCAGATTATGCGCCAAAACGGGGCTATTTTACAAGGACTCAATTGTAAAACAAGCGCGAAAGTTCTAATACTGTCGTATTAGAAAAGCGCTCAGGTGTTAGTCGATGTGTTTAGTGAAGAAAGGAAGTATAAACTCCGTCGACTTGGCTGGGTAATGGAAATAAAACATCAGTTGATAGCAAACAAAGGTTACCAGGGAAACCGTAAACGCGTTTTTTCGTTTCCCGAAAATGATAGGCACCGTTGAGCTCATCAGGCGCGTTTTTTTAGGCTTCATTCGAGTTCAACGATCAATTTCGATAAGAATTATACTCTACCGCTAAGAAATTTTCTTATAGACAAACGATCGAAACTACCTGCGCATTACGTTAAAAGCGTAAAATACGGTTTTCACAGCTTTATTTATTTTAAAACTGGACCCGCCCCCCCCCCAAAAAAAGCCTATACATCGATGAGCTGGTGCGCCATTTAAACGAATTAGCATTAGTATACTAGTACTCTAGAGGCAAGTCGAAATCAAAAAGCGCTGCCTATCGGCTGAGCGCTTAAAAGTCGATGTTTCAGCATTGTCTTGAAATATCTGGCACATTTGTGGGACCCAGACCATGTCTGAGCTCGAATCCATTGAATCGCTCCACTGTGCGGCGAGGAACTTCTGCCAAGCACTCCCCCACCGTGGGCGCGTGGGCGAGGAAAACCGTGAACTTGAGACACGCTCACCACTGAACTTGTCGGCGGGAAAGGTTAAGAACCGCGCTTCGACGGTTCGACCAATCGCGTTCGCGCCTCGGGGAGGCGCGGGTTGTTTTCGGAAAATCGCCCGCGCTCAAAATTCGCCGGAATCGCGCGTCCGGCGCCAGTTTTGATTTTGGAACCGACTTTGCCACTCGCGCAGACCGGGATTTTCGAAGTTAGTCAACTCTGAGCACGGGTTCTCACTCGTTGTTGGGGTCTGATTTTCAGTATCGAGTTTGATAGTTGCGGATTTTTGTGTTTAATACAAATACTGCAAATTTTCCACTCATATAAATTTCATCGAAAAATTTTCGTTTATATTACTTCTGCGTGTAAACCTGGTGATTTTTTACTCAATTTCACGGTCCTCAAAAGTTCGCCAAGAATTTTTCTTGCGGGGTGAAGTTCTCTGTTTCGAAAGCTGGAGCAGCTTGTTTGATTTCATTTTGGATTTTCCTGCAATTTTTTCCGCCTCCGTTCTTGAGGTTTGAAGTTGTGCTGAAGTTCCGATTTTGAATGTAATCATGGAGAGAGTGCTCTTGATAACTTTAGTTTTGGGCCTTGCTTTTGGGTACACGAAAACTCAAGGAGAAGTGCCCAATCCGGACCCGATCACATTTATGCCAACCGTAAGTCAATCTTTCTTGCATTTTTCAATTATTTCGTTTCTTTTTAATATTAAAAGATTGAGGGGCTTGGAGGACAAGGCGCATAAGTGCAGTTTTTTAAAAAATTAAGATATTGATTATTTCGAGTAAAGCTAGTCTTAATGCAAATTTTGTGAAAAATTCGCCACCAAATTCCAATTTTTAAGCATCAAAAAATCAGTTTGAATTTTCTCTCCGCCATGAGAATCCACGTAATTTCGAAACTTCAAACACGTATTTCTCGAAATATCAAAAACTGCACTTATGCGCCTTATTCTCCAAGCCCCTCAATTTAAAAAAAAGACATTGTTATTATTAGTCTCAACCAGAGGCCCTCTGCCCCCGAACCGCCTCGTGATCCAACCTCCTGCGGCGCAAAGCGCCTCAAGCGTTATGCGTGACATGTTACCATTATATGATTTTATTATTTTATAGAACAAGATATTCTGCATTATTACAAGGTAAATAACCTTACCGTAAAAATAGCGGCTATGACTTTATAATAAAAAATGTCTGGATGCCTAGCTCCTTATATTTGTGTATAAATGCCAATGCGAAAAATAAAATGGCAACTTAGGTATAAAGTCATGCTATTCATGCAGTGAAAACACGTCTTGCATCTGCAATTCTGCATGCTCAACAGTTTCCTGCGTTTGCCATTAAAATCCCTGCCAAACATTTCGTCACGTTGCTCATCCCCTGTGCTGGAGGCTCTGAAGCAAGTATGTATTTTCTTTGTCATCGATTTATGCAAGCAAGCATGCAGTCCGATCGTAAAAATGACAGCTGTCCAACAAACGAGTGGACCCACTGAATTATAGAGGTTTCATTACCATGAAACTTGGTTCTCATTCTCAATATTTGACATACAGGTCGGATATGAATTGAATGTGCTCCCTTGTTCAGCTCTTATGCTATTCCTTGTGGCGGAGATCATTGGTGGTGAAACTATCTAATATCATCACTCGGCTTACAAATGGGCGTAACTGCACTTAGAGATGGGCCATGGGCCCGGGAAAACATTGAGTTATATGGACGACAAGGGTCATCGCAAAGTGTAGTTACTACGTTTCTATGTCAGAAGGACGAGGAAATGCACATCTCAACTGCAGCATTTTATGATTTCTATTATGGGAGGAAGTGATAAGGTTTTTTTTCATGCATTATAGAAAAAATTCTGGAGGGGCAAAAATTACGACACTAATTGATTTAAAAAAGTATTTCAAACCTTACAAAGTTTCAAGAAATCGTACAAATTAGCTTCTTTCATAAAGATTAAAAACGTGAGGTTAAGTTGAATTTTAATTATTTACAATTGAAATTGAACTTGCAATTTAGAATTTGTTGAAACTTTCAGTAAGAGAAGTTTGAGGATTCTTAAAATATATTTACAGAAATAAAAATTATGAGAAGAGCAAAGGTCAGATTTTTATCAGTCTTGAATTTTTTTTCTACATTATTTCTTCCACTATTTTTCGGCAATTTTTCTCAATATTTTCATCCACATTCTAACTCCTGTCTTCTAAAGAAAAAAAAAACTCATTAGAAATTCGCTTAAAATTATAATCATGTAAATTAACAAAGCTATAATTCACGACAAAATAAATCTGAAAGTTCGTGTGTGTGGCTACCCGTTTTTCGACGAAGACCTATATTTTACATACTTACTTAAACATTAAAATTCGCATCACTAGAATACATCTCTCCAGGAAGCTTATCTTTTCCGCCTTTTGTAATGATGCTATATTTAATGGCATGTACGAAAATTACCAACTCGAGTACTTTCCGGCTTTTATCAAGATTATACGCACCTTGAATTTTACGTCACGTACCTGAAACCTTCGCAGTTGCCTTTGCCAAACTCTCAAGAAATTCTTTAAATTATACCAATAAAATCGAAGGATTATATACGCGCTACCAAGAATGGTGACAATTTTGTTGTCGAGACTTGCCGCATTTCAGATGATAATTTACCTGCACCCTATATTGAAAGGCTTTATTTGTAAAAAATCAGGGAGATTTTTACTATTTGGCAACTCTTAACCTTCTCAGGGCACGAGAAATTGTTATGCCTATCATGCTCTAAAATTGCTTGTCTCTAAGTCTCATACGGTTGCACCGTTGATTTCTATTCGATAGGCGTTAAACACGGAATCCTACATCCTGAAGAAGGCATCATAACCTCTAAATGGCAACTCTGTGAACAGTGAATCAATTTTCGAGTCGGAACACGGACCTGCTCGAATTCGTGAGGTTCATTTTGAATGAAAAACGATATAAAAATGACGACGAACAGCAAACAAGAAGCATTGGCTTTCCTGGTTGTGGATGATAGACCAGAAAAAAAATCGGTATTACCGAATGAAGTAGGTCCACATGTTGGAGGGGAATCAGAATGTGCCTTCGACACCTATAGGCAAATTCCAAACTGCCCAGGCCAAGCGCGATGCACCCGGGCAAAAGCCGATTTTTCAAATCATTCCGGGGTATATCCCGCGTAAAGTCAATGCGTGTGACCGGGCGCATCGCGATTTTCCTGGGCTGATCGCGAATTACGCGGATTTTGGGGTTTGACCGCAACATATTCATTGCATTTTAATGCATCATTCATCGGAAGTATAATACCCTAACATGCTGCAAAAGAGAATAAAAAACATAGGCGGATCCAGATTTCTCGAAAGGGAGGGGCGGATTTTTTTCCGAACTCCATCCATCAGAGGAGGGGGGTTGTCGAAAGAAATTTCGGAATTTTAAAGCATCTAATGTGCAATTTTATTGCAATATTATGTATGTTTATGTCAATATTGCCACGAATAATCACCAGTAGCGACTTTCCTTCTTCTTACCTCCGTTTCTCTTTTCTCTCTTTCTCCCGTCCTTCTCCCATCATTTTTTCGGGTGAACGGAGGGGCGCACGCCCCTTATGCTCACCCTTTGATCCGGCTTTCTTAAAAAAAAAAGAATTTTACGTCATTTATTAATTAAATATCACTCCCAAAGACCAAAAACAAGAAAGGAAAAACCATCGATAAGGAAGTTACGCGGCTTCATCCCAGTACATTGTTACAAAAAATTATGCGCGTAATTGATAACAGATAACGATCATCACCCTTCAATAATAGACAGCAATTTCGCGTAAAAATAATCAGCTTTCGTAGTAAGAACCGGAACCCCCTATTCCGGTGACACCTCATCTGGTCGACACTTTTCAACGCCTCTTGCGGAAGTTTGGTGAATCGAAATTACATACGGCGTTTTTCCACTAAACTTCATAGAAAATATCAACTTTGTTGCAAACGCGGACGTACAGCATTATTCGCCGGGTGGGAAAGTAACACGAGCCTATCTAAATGACCATCCTCATTTAATCTGTTTCTTAACTCGCTTTAAATGGTAATCACATCAGTAGACGGCACCATTATATTTTCCGAGAATTTCTGGAAATCGCGGATGTATATGTTAATAATTGCGCTTGCCACATTTTGCATATGCGCGAAAGACTAAAGAGTATTTGTGAATGACTGTTAAACTTGCGTGCACGCTGTATGTTTTAACAGTAATAGCATCGCAGTTTCTCAAGTTGAAAAATTAGTTGGTGATTATCTCAGATTAAGTAATCATTGCTGATGGGTTCAGTTAACTGGTCTAGTTCGTAATTGATTACTGTTGAGGAAAATTATTCTTTCACAACTGTTAGTAGGTACATATAATGATTTTCATTGAATTTCGCAAACGAGAGCTCTTTCGTTTGCCTCAGTTTTTAAGTACTTAACCGTTTTAGAGAAAGAAAGGGCTCAAATGAAGAGTATTATTAATGCATCAATAAAAGTTTCCTAAACCAGCAATCGTCGCAAAATATTGAATTTGTACCCTTTTTCCGGTTAGATTATTAACTTTTTTTTAGAACTGTACAATTTAAAGTGACTGTTCAGCAGTTAACATCAATGATTTTTCAGGGATTTTGAGTTCCAAGGGCTGGGAGGCAGAGCGGATAGAGCGCATCCTACTTATAACAGGATTCAAAAAGAGATGAAGAAAGAGGAAGTAAAATAGGCGAGGGGAAAAAAAGGTAGTAGTAGTAGTAGTAGAATAATTTTATTTTAAAGCGGTGCTTTAGCATCTAAGGCCATTTACACCTCTAAAGAGGGCAGTAACAGTAATAAATTTACATGGAAACATCAGTAAAAATACAAAAGGGTTGAGGGGAAAGGTTAAATTTTGAGATTAGTGAAGCGCATAAATTCAAAAAGTTTCACAGGATGAGTATTCAGAAGTAAATTTTTAAGAGAGGGCAAGGGGTAAAGGAAAAAAACGTTTTCGGATATCTTTATAAAGTGGGCAACTTATAAGAACGTGAAATGAAGAAGAAAGAAAGAAAGTAGTAGTAGTAGTAAAATAATTTTATTTTAAAGCGGTGCTTTAGCATCTAAGGCCATTTACACCTCTAAAGAGGGCAGTAACAGTAATAAATTTACAAAGAAAGAAAGAAAGAAAGAAAGTAGTAGTAGTAGTAGTAAAATAATTTTATTTCAAAGCGGTAGTAGTAGTAGTAAAATAATTTTATTTTAAAGCGGTGCTTTAGCATCTAAGGCCATTTACACCTCTAAAGAAGGCAGTAATAGTAATAAATTTACATAGAAAGAAAGAAAGAAAATACGAAGAAAAATTTCTTTCTCGTTTTTCTTCTGGCTTCGAAGATGAGGAATCAGATCTAAAGGACCTGAGTGAACTAGGGTTGACTTGAAGAACGCAGTTATTGCAAAGCGATATGTCGAATATCACCAGAATAACATAGCTACTATAGCAGTCTATTGATGAAAACGCATAGGGCGGGTATTCACGTGCAGTCTTGGGATAACCTCTAAATGCTCACTGTGTGGAATAAGCCGCAAATCAGATATACCACCGGCGCGGTTGCCTATAATGTAAGGAATCTGCCCGACAATTAGCAGGTACATAATTACGCGTGTCGTGCTCGTGAG